GAGGAGGGTCTCCTGCCAGCCCCCTTCTGCAGCTGTCCTAGCAGTGGGGGGAGGAGGACCCATCTGAGCTGCCAGCCTGTTCCCTGGGTCCCTGAGCAGCAAGGACAGGAGGAGGAGGTGAAAGGGTGGCCGGCCATATGGAGGCTGTTTATCTGAGAAGGGAAGTGGGGAAGGGGCTGGCGATTCCGGAGTTGGAGCATGGGGAGAGCAGACAGTCCCCCACCCCCACAATGCTCACATCCTGCTCTGCCTTGCTGCCTGCTTCTCCACAGCAACAACCTTTTCTTTTTTAGATTTATTTTTATTTTTATTAGAAAGTGAGAGAGGAGGAAAGACAAAGAAAAGCTTCTGTCTATTGATTCACTCCCTATGTGGCTACAACGGCCAGAGTTATGCCAATCCGAAGCCAGGAGCCTAGAGCCTCTTCTGGGTCTCCCAGGCGGGTGCAGGGTTCCAAGGCTTTGGACCATCCTTGACTGCTTTCCCAGGTCACAAGCAGGGAGTTGGATGGGAAACGGGGCTGCCGGGATTAGAACTGGCACCCATATGGGATCCCGGCGCGTTCAAGGCTAGGACTTCAGCCACTAAGGCTGCAGCAGCAGGCCAGCTGCCTTTTTTCTTCCCATTGCCAAATCCTTTGCCCTACCTCGTTCCAAAAGCCACAAAGAAGGGTTTAAAAACAAGACAATTAGCCGAAAATTGGAAATTGGGGCAGTTTTCTACAAAGCACCTGCTTTGCTGAGTGCTGGGGCTACAAACAGAACACATCCCTGCCCCAACAGCTTGTGGGTGTAAGTAAAGGAGGAAAAGACCAGTCGCTGAGAAATGTGTTGCAGATGCAAGAATATTCTGTGGTGGTGGCGATGAGGTTGGGAGCAAAGTGAAGATGATGTTTTTCTGGCGACAGACGAGGAATATAAAGACTGATTATCGTGTGCTAAGTATGTGCTGGACCGCCCCCCGCCTCCCCCCCTCCAGGTCCTTGACCTCGGCCACTGTGATTGAACTGCCTGCTAGACTGGTGGGGAGATGGATGCCTTTGGGGAAATAGGAGAAGAGAAGGATCTTCCAGAGGCTATGCAGCAGGTGGCAGAGCTACACACAACCCCTGGTGGGTTGATTCTAGATCCCAGCTGGGTCACTGTAAACCACTGCTAATTGTTCTTTCTTGTGCTGCCTGGGGAGGTTTCCTGGAATAGGCGGTTGGTTTCCTGGAATAGGCGGGCCCCAGTAACCTTGGGACCTAGGAACTTTGGCACCATCATGGAAGAGGTCCCAGCTGACTGCCTATGCAGTTTCCAGGCCCCGGGGAGAAAGAACGCCTCTTCCTGAATGACTAAGGACGTCTTGTGGCTGCCTCCAGGTGACAGGAGTTTTCATGTTTGGATTAATAGAGGAACTGTTAACTCTGTTTGGCTTCCAGGCTCCCAGCCGGCATTTCCCCTCTCCTAGGAGGAGGAGGGAGCCAGGCACCCAGACCCATCTCTGTGGGTGATTAGATCCTAATTGGGAAGAGGAGTCACAAGGGCATCCAACTGGCGTGTTCTCCCCACTCCCAGCTCCAGCACCACACCCCGAAAAAAATGCCAGGCTAGCCCTCCCCCAGTCTGTGGGAAGTTCTCATGAGAAAAGGGATGGGGCCGGACAATGGGCTTCCTGTCTGACTGCTAGGAAGGTTTGTCTCATAGGAGAGGAAGGTTGCAAGTGGCCTGAGAAACCATCTCATATCCCTCCCACTGCAGCTTATTGTAGATGTTGGACTGAGTGGGGGCGTTGGAAAGACAGAGGGTCACGGATGCAAGCAGCCCTGGTGTTTTCCTAGGGAACTGGATCTTGCCTGCTTTCCCGCTTCTGCTGAAGCTGCCTTAACTCAGGGGCTTCTGCAAGGACAGGATGCTTCTTCTTGAGCCCTCACACCCTGTGTTGACATCACATCCACCGTGGCTGCAGAGGGAGTCAGGCAGCAGCTTTAACACAGATTAGTTTGTTTTCTTAAAAAGTAGAGAGACAGATATCTCCACCACTGTTATTCCCCAAATATCCATGGCAGCTGGGAATAGGCCAGGGCAGTGTTAGGAGCTGGCAGCTTATCCAAGTCTCCTGTGTGGGTAGCAGGGACCTTGCCCAGGAGGTGCATTATTACCATGAAGCTAAAATCAGGAGCAGAACCCAGGCTCAGATCTAAGCATTCACGTATGGGATGCCACTTAACCTGTTGTGCCAAGTACAATCCCCTCTTTTTACCCTTTTAATGTCCTTCTGTGGCCACATTATGATTCTGTTGAATAGCTCTGTGCTAGGTGTTTGATTTCCATTTGTCCCCATTTCTCTTCTTTATCCTGGTCTCTCACCCTTTTCTGGTTGTCAGAAGAATAAGATCAACTCTGCCCCAAAGAGACACCTCAGGCTAATAGAAAAATGCTCATGTGAGCAGTTTGTCGTATGTAATGCTTACTTCGTTAGAGTGGGTCGTACAGTGTGTGTCATCTGTGTTGTAATCTTTGACCTCTGTGGAGAGGGCCTGCTGTGACTGGTAGGATTATAACTATTAAGAACACTTACAACCCTGCCTTGAGGTGCTGTGAGGTTGCAGCTGCCTCAGTATGTTGGTTTTGGGGGACCCTCTTCTCCCCTGCATTCCCAGGAAAGCTTTGGCCATCCTTCCTTTCAGAGCTTTCCTTAAGCACCTGTTTCTGTGACCCTACAGTGCAAGCTCCTGCCAGCTCTTCTGCCTCTGTGCCATCTGCATTCCCTCCAGCTGTGTAGATGGACTTCATGGAGAGCCTTCTGTGAGCCAGGCTCTTCTCCAGGCACAAGCATCACCTTGCTGTGCCCTCAGCTCTGTGGAGGCCCATGTGGTAGGGGAGACAATGACGCACAGACAGGAAGCTCAAGAACACTGATTAAATTGTGATCTGCCTGGCCTTCCTCTCATTTTCAAATTATGTAGCGCTGCGTAATCAAATGAGCCCAGTATCTTCCCGGTTAAGAGCAGAGCCTGGAATTCCTCCAGGCCTGCAGTTGTCAGAGAGAACCCCATGTTCATATGATGTCAGCCCCTGGCTCGCGACAGTGGCTTCTGGAAGCTACCAGGTGATTTATTGGCTGTGTGGGTTCCAGTGTTCTTCCCTTTCCTGTTAACATGCACGCATATATGTGTATGCTCCTGGGCTTTAAAATGACCTTACTTACTCCCACATCTTCTTTTAAAATTTTTTTCTTAATCATTTTTATTTATTTGAAATGCAGAATTGCTCTGAGTTGGAGAGACAGACAGCTTTCCCATCTGTTGGGTCACACCCCAAATGGCCCCAGTTGTTGGGGCTGGGCCAGGCCAAAGCCAGTAGTCAGGAGCTTCATCCCAAGTCTCCCACTTGGGTGGCAGGGATCCAAGCACTTGGACCAGCTTCCACTGTTTTCCCAGGAGCATTAGCAGGGAGCTGAATCGGAAGTAGTCAGCCAGAACTGGAGCCAGCACTCCCAGGCAATGGCTTGACCCTCTGTACCACACCAGCCCTGAGTGCTTCCTTGTAAGGCCTCCTTATGTGCTCTCATGAACCTGCAGCAGCATCTCATGATGCTGAACAGACATGCCAGCTTATTTCCTTTGTGTGAGCTTTATAGATAAACACAAGAGAATTTTTGTGCTGAGTTTATTTGACTCTGCCGGGGCAGCTGAGCTCTTGAGGTCTCTCTGAGAGGCCTTCGCCCCTTGCTCCATGGGCTGTGGGGTTTACTGCTGTGATGGTTTCTCCTCAAGAACCTTCAGTGGCTCCTCGTTTGAGTTGAATGTGTCACTCCCTGTAGTCGGGGCTCTGTGTGAGATGGTCCCTTGGCTTTCCACATGACTTCTTAGGACAGATTCTGTCTGGAGTGACAGCTGGGTTGGATCCCACTCTCCTGGGCTCCTGGATGTCTCTTGACCAACCTGCACTTTCCTGTGGCAGTGCATCTGCTTCGGCTGCCACTTCCAAAATGCCACTTCCTCCTGAAACGCCTTTCCTGGCCCCCCCCCAGGCACGATGTCTGCTGCTGGGAGCCACCTGTGCTGGTGTGAACTCAGTCAGTCTGAGCCCAAAGTGTCTGGGAAAGAACCTGGAAGAAGCCTATATATTGCCCTTGGGGTGGGGCAACTGGTTGGCAGGGGACCAGGGGAGGGGCTTAATAATAAAGAGGTCTTGCAGCTGCTTGAGCTTAGCATGGCTGCAGCTGCTCCAGACCAGGGTCCCGGGTACTGCTTGTCATCTCCCAGACAGACTGATTTTGAGCAGAAGTGACCCTGTGAGCTATACCCCTTAAGAGCCACTCAGCTCCTGGAGTAGGAGCAGCATGTGCTGGAAGAAAGAGCATGGTGTTAGAATCAGAAGGCCTGACGCTGACCCTCCAAGTGTGGTCATGGTCATTTCACTGTTCTATGTCTCAGGGTCCTCACCATGAGAAGGAAGAGGTGATAGCTGCCACCCTTGGCTGGGGCAGTTTTAGAACTGTGCTGTCCCCCTGAGTGAGCAACGCAGGGCTGATGGTCAGAGAAGGGAAGATGTGGGGTGGGGGTTCCAGAGTTCCCTGGAGGGCCCCTGAGGGGCTGAGGGCTCGCAGAGTCCTCTCTGACATAGACACTGAAAACAAGGAGGACATTTCCTGCTGGCAGGCCAGTGGCACCTGGTCTCCCTTCTCTCAGGTTCATGGTTGTGCTGGGAAGTTTTGTGGAAACCACATTGTGTCTCAATCACTGTAGGTTTAAGACTTGTCAGAGTCTGTGCTCAGCTCTGGGTGCTGTTCTCTTCAGGCAGGTGCAAGGCGACGGAGGTATGTGGCAGGTGGCACACCAGCCCAGTCTCACTTCCCTGTTTGCCAGTGACATCTTGAATTCCCAGGGTTTGCTCCCCAGTCTTCCCAGGGGCCTGATCCTTTGCTCATTCATGCGTTTCCCGTCGTGGCCTTCAGTGCAGAGCTGCTGAGACACTGGAATCCTCCGGTATCACTTCTCTCTGTCTTTGCAGTGTGCCCCCTGCCCCCGCAGCCAGAGAATGGAGGCTACATCTGCCACCCCCGGCCCTGCAGAGAGCTCCTGACAGCAGGCAGCGTCATCGAGTACCAGTGTGCTGAAGGCTACATGTTGAAGGGCGATTACAAGTACCTGACGTGTAAGAATGGCGAGTGGAAGCCGGCCATGGACATTAGCTGCCGTCTCAATGAGGGTCAGTGTGGCAGAAGAGAAGGGGTGCAGGGTTCTGGTTCCTTTACTCCCGGGGTGTGGCATGTGCTCCCCACTCCCCAACCCTGTGCCCTGTTTGACTTCCTGCAGCTCCTCCTCCTTTGAGGGTCTCTGTCTCTGGGGGTGCTGGTGCGTGTCCTGCTATGCTTCACAGAGCCCAAGAGAGTCCGTGGCTTTGTAAGGCCTCGGCCCTGCTCTGCAAAGCCCCTTTGATGTTCAGGGTCCCTTGTTCGCCTCGCCGAGTGCTGGTGACCCTTGACCATGTTCTGCTAACACAATGAGCACAATGCCAACACCTTGTCTGGTGCCACTGCGGTTTTGTTTTTCCTTGAATGGAGACAGACTGCTTTGTTGTGGAGCCACAGGCCAGCTGGACAGCAGCGCTCTCTTCCTTCTGCCTCCTCCTGTCTTGTCTGGCAGGAATGTCCAGCTGCCTGCAGGAAAGAGTGTGTCCTGGAGCTTCCTGTGTGCTTCACACTCCGACTTGGAGCCTGGAATGAGTTTAACCCATGGCATCCCAGAGAAGTGTGGTGACTGGGCCAAGTGTCCAGCTGAAACTGTGTGAGGTCGGGGCCCTATCATGGCCTGGCCTGCCACACAGGGAGCAGTGCACAGAGGACTGCAGGTAGAGGGGGCATGTGACCCTGGGAGTGATGTTCCAGCCTGCTCCAGAGGCTGTGCCAGTGTGGTTTACAAAGGGAGGCTGTTTGGGCTTACACGAGCCAGGGTAAGGGACAGTCCCCTTCAAGGACTCCTTGAATGTTCTTGCCGCAACACGCTGTCCGTCCTGAGGCAGCCCAGTAGCCTGTCTCTGGGTGATGGATCAACTGCAGGACCTTGGGTTGCAAAAGGAGTCTAATGGTGGCTTTTCCCACAGAGAAAGACACCCACGCGTCCCTCGGGGTCCCCACACTGTCCATCGTGGCTTCCACCGCCAGCTCCGTGGCCCTGATCCTCCTGCTCGTGGTGCTGTTCGTGCTGCTGCAGCCAAAGCTCAAGTCTTTTCATCACAGTAGGTGAGTCTGGTGCCAGTGCTACTGAGGGAGCAGCGTTTTTGACGGCCAGGATTGCGGGTGGCCTGCTGGCCTCTGCTGCTCAGTGTGTGCCCAGCAAAGGGTAGACCCTGCCCCGTGTTAAACTTAGGGCACTGCACTTGTTGCTGTGCCTGCGTTGTTTCACTCCTCATAGGAACCGTGGCTGAGAGGAATTTCTAGGCCATTCTCTCAAGGTCATAGCTGGTCTAGATGATACAGGGCTGAGACTTGAACCCACTTCTATTCACAGCCTTTCCTGTGTGTCAGCGTTTCTCTGAACGGGGCTCCAGCAGCAGCAGCAACAGCTGGAACTTGTTGAGAACACACAATTTCAGACTTTACTCCGACAAGTTGAATGAGAGGCTCTGGGACTGGGGCCCACGCTGTGGTTGGATAAGCCCTCCCCAGTGATTCTGATGTATACACGCCCCGCTTTGCTGCCTGTTCTCCTGGCTGGGGTAGAAGGCACCTCCCAGGAGCTGAAAGCAAATGGCAGCAGTGCTGGTCGGTTTGCTTTGGAGGGGGACCCTAGCGTTTGCATTTCTCTCAAGGGAACACCTGCACTGCACCACTGAAAACACGGAGGAGAGGTGGCTTTTCCTGTCTGGCTGTGACATCTCTCTTCGTGCTTTAGCCACAAATCATCCTGCATGGAGACAGCCACAGCTGCTTTAAGTGGCCCCTGGGAATCCCTGTGGGTGGACTTTTTTTCTCAGGCTGTCACAGCTTCTGTGGGGCAGAGTGGCTGCCCCCAGGGCTCCCTGTTCCCTCTCACAGTCCATCCTTCCTGTGCATCACAGCCCCTCTCTGAGCACTGCTGTCACTCTAGCCAAACTCAGCTGTGTTCTCGGGTATAGGACTCCCAGACAAGGACCTGGCTGCCTGTAATATCTGCAGCTGGTGGTGACTGGGCTTCCTTCCGTTTTGTTTTGCTTTGGGGAAGAGAGCAGCCGTTATTTTTAAATAGAATATTTTAAAATCACTTGTTTATTTGAAAGGCAGAGTTACAGAGAGAAATATGGAAGTTCTGGCTATGACGTTCAGAGCTGGATGTAGTTGGAGACAGAAGCCATGAGCTTCATTTTGGTCTCCCACGTGGCTACAGAGGCCCAGGTACTTGGGCCATCTTTCACTGCTTCACTAGGCACAATAGTAGGGAGATGAATTAGAAGTGTAGCAGCCAGGACTCAAAGCACTACCCATTATAGTATACTGGTGTCTCAGGCCATGGCTCTGCTTGCTGTGCTACAGTGCCAGCCCCAGTAGAAGGTGTGTGTGTGTGTGTGTGTGTGTGTGTGTGTGTGTGTGTGTGTGTATGTATGTGCGTTGGCTTTTTTGGAGGTGGCCAGGGGCAGGGGAAGAAAGTTATTTCTACCAAATAGAATGGCTGTTGTGACAGTGCAAGGCTAATCCTTCACCCTGCGGTGCTGGCATCCTGTATGAATGCCAGTTCATATTCCAGCCACTCCACTTCCCACCCAGCTCCCTGCTTATGGCCTGGGAAAGCACTGTGCCAGGTAAAACTTCTTCCCACTGCAAAGCATGCATAGTGTTGGAACTGGAAAGTGCAGATTTTTATCTCCCAAGTACAGATGAGGATTTGAGAAAAAATAATAGTAGTCCTGTGACAATGACAAAGTCTGGCCACCCATTGTGGCACCTGCCATTATAATGAGCTAAAAGGATGCAGCCTCACCTATGTGGTTCTTGGCAAGACTTGGTCTGAGTCCAATCCTGAGGAAGCAATTAGACAAACCCAGATTGTAGGCATTCTGTGAGACAGCTGGCCTAGCCTGTCCCAGGAGAAGTGCCGGTGTCTTGAAAGAAAAACTGTTGTGGACTGTTGCAGATTAAAGAAACTGAAAGAGTTAGGACCACAAAATGGAATGGTGAGCCTTTGATGGCCCAAGAAGAAGACGGATTACTTCTGAAATGGATATGCTTTCTGGTCTGTCTGGAAACATTGCATCATAATATTATACTAGTGCTGTAGTGTTGGGATGTGTTGCTGCACTGGTTGAGCATCACAAATCAGGAAATGCAGAATCCAAAATTCCAACATGACACCACCAGTGGAAAATTCCATGTTAACCTCATGTAAGAACACTAAAATTGGATAAAATTAACCTCTAGGCTAGGTCTGTAAGGCATATATAAGACAAAGGAATTTTGTGTTTAGACTTGAGCCCCATCTGTAGATGTCTTGTTGGGCATGTGCAAGGATTACACAGTCTGAAATCCGAAATACGCTTGGCCCAAGCATTGTAGATGAGGGATGTTCAGCATGCAGTTATGTAAAAGCAGAAGTGTGTAAGAGAATCACACTAAATAGTCTTAATTTTGTTTTCTAGTGGACCAAAAGAAAGTGTAATATGTATATATATATAACAATAGTCATTGCAAAACAAGGTACTCACATGAAAAAATTTTTACAGTGTAGCATAAAAGACACACATTACTGTGTTTTCAGCTTATATAAAGATTAAAAAAAATAACATGGTATTGAATGGTTCATATTTAGGTAGTAAACTTAGTAAAACAAAACAAAAAACCATGATTTCCATAAATGTCACAACAATGGTTAGTTGTGCTGATGAGAAAATGGAGTGACTGAGAACGGAGCAAGGCATTCAGGCTCTTGGGCTCAGTAATAGTTCAAGCAGTTTTTGAAAAAGGAGATAGATAGGCAAGCAAAGTGGTTGAATCAGTATGAAATTCTTCTAGTTTCTGGTCCAGTACCCTGTTTCAAGATCATAATGTTTATCCGTCTGATGCCTTTATGAAGATCTAATTTCTGTAGCATGCAAGGTAGCCACTTGAACAATGATGTGGTTTAGTGTTTTCCCAAGTACTAGCTAGCGTCAACATCTCACTTTTTTGTCCAGCTCTGCTGAAAGAATGAATGGGTTCATTTCCAGGTCTGCAGGCACCTAGCTTTTGCACAGGACGGGGGTGCAAGTAGTGTCACCCCGAAGTTAGAAACCATCTCTGGAGGCAGATGTAATTGGATTCAAATCTCAGCTCCATTCTTTTTTCTTTTTGAGATTTATTTATTTTTATTGGAAAGGCGTATATACTGAGAGAAGGAAAGACAGAGAGGACGATCTTCTGTCCATTGATTCACTCCTGGAGTGGCCGCAACGGCCAGAGCTGTGCCAATCCGAAGCCAGGAGCCAGGAACTTCTTTCTGGTCTTCCATGTGGGTGCAGGAACCCAAGACTTTGGGCCATCCTCAACTGCTTTCCCAGGTCACAGGCAGGGAGCTGGATGGGAAGCAGGGCCACCAGGACACAAACCAACACCCCTATGGCCTCCCGGCGCATGCAAAGCAAGGACTTTAGCTGTTAGGCTACCGCACCAGGCCCTATCTGCTCCATTCTTTACCAACTGTAGGACTGTGGGCAAATTACTTAACTTTTCTGGGCCTTAAGTGAATTCCTGGTGAATCCCTACCCTACCCGGCTCTGCTGAGAGTCCCAGTGTGATCAAGTGCCCTGATTACCACATGCCTGGCATGGAGTATATGCACAAAAAGGGAGGCTGCTACCGGGCCGTGATATTTCTGTATGAGTGTTTAATTCTTCCTTTGTCTTTTCCTCCTGCATCAGGCGTGACCAGGGTGTCTCCGGGGAACAGGTCTCCATCATGGTGGATGGAGTCCCAGTTGCATTGCCGTCGTATGAGGAGGCCGTGTACGGCAGCTCTGGCCACTGCGTGCCACCGGCTGATCCCAGAGTGCAGATTGTGCTGTCTGAAGGGTCTGGGCCCAGTGGGAGGAGCACACCGAGAGAGCATCAGCTGCAGGACCAGGGGGCCTGTTCCTCTTCAGGTGGAGAGGACGAGGCCCCAGGCCAGTCTGGACTGTGTGAAGCCCGGGGCTCCCGAGGCTCAGAGACAGTGATGGTGCACCAGGCGACCACCTCCTCCTGGGTGGCCGGCTCAGGGAACAGCCGACTGGCACACAAAGAAGCCGTGGATTCTGAAAACAGCGACATACAAAGCCTTTTATCCCTCACGTCAGAGGAGTACACAGATGGTAGGTGGGCTGAGCAGACCGTGAGTGGTAAGGGGCCCTTGGTGGGTGAGGAAAGATCAAGAGCCTCTCTAATCGTTGCTGTGTTTTTGGCAAAGGGTAGTAGCCCACAAAACAAGCTTTGACCCCTGAAGTCCCAGGGAGGGCTGTGAGCTCCCCGTCGGGCGCAGCACCGCAGGCTGTGAGGTTTGAGGGTTTGCAGTGTTAGAGATCGTCACACTGGACCGTTGACCACACACTGCAAGATGCTTCTCAGTGCAGTCCACGGCCCTTCTCCTCCCACTCCGCTGCTTTTCCTTGCAGCCTTGCTTTGTTCCGTGTGTTGAACAAACATTTTTGGCAAGCCCATTTTGTGCCTGATGCTCTTTAGGTTTCCAGGATGAGAAAATAGGAAACATGGTCTCTGATGCATGAAGCATTAGTGGGTTAGGAAGTTGGAGAAGGCGGGAGCAGAGGGCAGGGGGGATGTCCCCTAGAAATTGTGGGACTTGGAATTGTAGGGTCAGTGCCAAAGTTCAGAGGGGTCCAGAAGGTTAGTCCATGTAGGTTAGTGGTTCGTGGGACATGGCTGAGCTGCCTGGGAGCCACAGGACCACAGGGAGGCAGGAATGTCAGGCATAAGGCCGCCGACATGAAGACACTAGAATCCAGAGAGGGCAAACAGCAGGTGGACAGCTCTCAGGAGGAGGTGGGACAGGAGCTCAGCTCTGTAGCCCAGAAAAAGCAGAATGAGGAAAGAAGGGGAAGCGAGCTGGCCAGAGAGGAGGGAACCTGGTGGGAACCCCAGGAGTTGGAATAGCAGGCTGAGCCATCTCATCTCACTGTGCATACATTGAGAAAGATGAGCCAGGAAGACCCAGAAAAGAGGCAGGCTGCATCTGGCCTCTTAGAGGTGTATGGCAAGGAAGTTGCAGGATTTCTTGAAGCTGCATGTCAGCTGCAGTGGGAGTGGGTCAGGAGCGACCTAGGTTGCCTCCTGAGCTAACCATATGCTTCCCGTCCCTGTCTTGCTGCAGATATTCCACTGTTGAAAGAAGCGTGAGGGTTGCCAGCTCTCTCTCCACTGCGAGGGTCCTTCCTGCCCTCCCCAGCACCGTCCTGTGGGTTTGAGCACTCCGTACTCTCCAGCCACCCCGCTCGGATAGCTGAGTGCCACCTGTGTATCTCTGAGGGCCTGCGGCCACCTTGCTGAAAACTCCAGGAAGATCTCTCTCAGCTGTCTGCCTGCTGCACAACTGGGGGAATAGGCCCTTTGCCTGGCCCAGCCCTGCCACCTGTGGGGACATAATTTGAATGTGCTGGCTCAAACCCACCCTCTCCCTGCCACTCCCCCCAAACCCCCCACCCGCCCCCATCCCCCCAGCCTCTAAGCCCCCTCCAGCCAGCTCCGGGGTGGCAGCCCCAACAGCTCACATGGGCCCGAGAGCCGCCATGTTTACTTGTGCCTTCCCCATCCCTCTCCGGTTCCCCTGCTGTGCAGGCTTGTTGCTCTCAACAAGCCTTAGTGGCTGCACCACTGCTCCTGCCCCAGGAGACCAGGCCTGGCTCTGGTGTGTCTCCTGCGAGGGCTGGCGCCGCCCTTGACAGGAGCAGATCCAAGAGGGAAAGCTCTCCCAGTGCCATGTGGCTCCCACTGGGGCAGGAGTGGGTCCCTGGGCTGGCCCTGGGTTGACTCCTGTGGTGTAGTCCCCCTGGCTGAGGCTGCAGAACTTGGAGAATCATGTTAAATTTTCCCCAGCACCAGCTGCCCAGCTCAGAGATGCAGGCTGTGGTCCCATTTGAGTAGAGAGATTCCAAGAAGCACCCAGGAGATCCTGAGGGTGGAAAGGAAGGTGGCTGATACCAATTGTCTTCCGAATATGCAAATTCTTATTTCTTGCTTCGGACAGCAAGCTTCCTGGCCTGGGTTTTCTCCATTTCCCTGGAGTGTAAGGGGAGGCTACCTCCTGGGCTCCATCCCCAGGCACCCTGGCTTCCTTGCCGCCCACAGGGCCTCCAGCGGAAGAGTTGCCGAGTGGCCTCAGGAGGACTGCCTGGCCACGGGTAGTCTGGCAGGTTGTCCCTCTTGGGTTCATGGTGATGGAGCAATGGCACACGCCAAGTGTCTGGGTGGCTGCAGGCGGCTCCAGCCCAGTCCTGAGGCTCCTCATCATGGTCATGTGCCTTAGTAACTGCCCAGGAAGTGGCTTGCTGCCGGCTGCTTTTCCTCCTGCACTTCCTTACCAGCCCTCTGCATGTCATGGCTGGCAGGTGGCCCCTTGCTTCCCTGATACCCTGGGGGTGAAGGGGGTGGGTGCAGGGCTCTTCAAGGGGAGCCTCTCGCTTTGCCCTGTGCCCTGCATCGAATGCTAACGAGGCTAGGTGGAAAGGCCCCGCCCAGCCCAAGCCATCTTCAGAAGATAGATGTGGCATTAAGGAATGTTGACTTTCCTTTTTTTTTTTTTTTTTTTTTTTTTTGGTGAAATCTCTAAAGCACTGAGGCTGGGAAACTTGGAAGCTGACCCGGTGCTCCCGCTCCGCTCCTGCCCCAAGCCTCTCTCCTGCTTGGGATGGGAAAATCCATAAAACCCCACAGACAGATGTGCCTGAGCTGATGGAGTTAGCTGCAGGCATGGGCAGACGCTTCAGGATGAGAGCAACAGCCTTCTGCCAGCCCGCTGCCCTGCCGCCTCCACTCACATTCACGCACTTTACTCGCTGGTCTTCCCCTCCTCTCAGGGTAAGGGCAGCACCTGCTATGCCCCTAGAACTCCCCCCCCCCATACCTCCCCCTACACAGCCAGAGTGGTCCAACCAGAGGCACCACTGGACAAGGAGCTGAAGGTGGGGGAGTGTGGCGGGCCCAACTGCCTTAGTGCACACAGACACCACAGCCTGCAACAGCACCTGGCCTCCCCTCCTTGCCTAGCTCCCCAACCCCGGGAGGAGAAAAACAGCCCGGACTAATGGGCGGTGCCTGGGTATGTCCTCCGGAACCCCAGTTCTATCCTATCTTATTTTTTAAACATAAGTCTCTCCCATTTCTGTCCTCTGGGGTTCCCCCCGACACCCCACTGGGAGAGACTGCTCTGGTTGTTTGGGGGTTTGTTCAACCTCTTGGGTGACTGGCTGGCTCAGCACTTGATGAAATGAAAGGCTGGCCTTCCAGAGAAGCTGCTTTCCACTTCCTGCCGTGGAAGTGGCCGGGCCACATGCCCGAGCTTGCCCACCTGGAGAGCAAGAGAGAAAAGTCAGAACCAGCGTGTACCCCTGCTCCCTTGCCCCGCTCCCATCGCTGGCTTTAACAGGGTTCCCCTGGAGGCTCCAGGGCTGTGGGTGCAGGCACTGGGCTCACATTCCTGCTGACCCCTGTGGCAGCCCCCTCCCTGACCCCCGCCACTTCTTTACTATGGGCCTTGTGTTCTGCTTCTTGAGCTGTGGCTGGCTGAAGGATTAGGGTCTCCACTGCCGCCTTGAAATGGGGCCTGGCTGAGAGCCTAGGGCACTCTTAGGCAGGAGGCCACCTGGAGCAGGTAGAAGGGACCGATCCCCAGAGCCCTGCCTTCATGAGTTCGCCTCCAGGAGAGTCAGGCAGAAGCCTGGTCCCAGAGCAGTGGCCAGTGCTGAAAGACTTGGATACGAGGGTTTAGGTGTTTCTCTTTGCACACTTGTGCCGTAGTCGTATCCTCGCAGCATTTCCAGGGCCAGAATCCAATGAAAATCACTTCAAAACTCCATCCCCTTCATGCCTTAGTTTAGCAGGTAGGCTCTGTCTTTTGCCACTTCTGTGCTTTCCTGTGCGGTTTCACTGGGTGCGAACTGTGACATGGGCCAAGCCCTGGCCAACTTTGTGAGTTTGGTTTTATAAGGCATTTCAGTGCATGTCCGATAAGCACTCCATTTGCAGACAGAACTTCAGGATTGCCTTTCCCGATTCACCCAGCCCTCCTCCTACCACCCCCAGCTTTAAGGTTGTGTGGAGAAGCCACTGGTGAGACAAAGGTATACTCTTCCTGCTTCAATGGTGGTGGGCCAGGGATGGGCAGCACTTGGCCTCGGCCTGCCCATCCCCGTCCCAGTGGAGTGGCCTACCACTTGCTTCTCACATGACAATGTGGCCTGTTTCCAGGAACATCCTTGTGTAGAGAATGGAATATGCTGCAAACATTTCTATAACCTCACCCTCCCCACCCCCGGCACAAAAGACCTAGAAGGGAAGTGGCAGCCAGATGCTACAGCTTAATTCCAGATGTGCTGGCCAAGGACCATGGTGAGGCTGGGAGCCCCTCTTATGGGACCTGCCGGGTCTCCTTGTGGTCAGCCTGAGGACAGGCATCCATGGGGCCCTAGGAAGGGGCTTGGGGAATATTTTGCTTGGAAGATGTTGGTGCTGAGTAATGCTGATTCCCCAGAGAGGGGAAGGTGGCAGGCTCAGCTCTTCTGGGAAATGAGTCTTAATTTCCAGTAGAAGTCTGGTGGAGCTTTGAAGGAGAACCCCCCCCCCACCCCCAGTGTTGAACCCTCAGCCAAGTAGCCAGGCAAACTGGAGAGAATGCAGAGTTGGAACGCTCAGATTGCTAAGCAGGGAGGAGGAGGGACCCAGGTTGCATGGCAGCTCCCACACCTACCCTGGCTTCTTAAGGTTATGACACCACTGAGGCACCCTTTGCAGAATGGTACTCGTAATGGTTGCAGACTGTGCAGGATGTCACTCAATCAGTTTGGGTTTGCTTTATTTTATTCTATATATATATTTTTTTGGTATCCTGTACATTGCGGTGGGTGTGAAGATAGTATTTTAATATTTGTACAAAGTTTAATTTAATTTTAATTGTTCTATGTATATAACTGCATTTCTAAATAATAATAATAAAAAGTTCTTATGAAGGCGGTTGTGGGAGATGTGATCCTTGCACACGCCTGCCACAGGTAAGGACTGCCTGGCCCCATGGGACATGAGCAACGAATATCCAGGTGGGGTCACTCAAGGGTTGTTGCTTTTCTCTTGGTGGTAGGTGAGGCAGCATAAAGATGGCAAAACCTATACAACCAGCCAGCCGCTGCGGAAATAACTGTCTGCAGCTGGCACCCCAGGTGGGAAAGGTGTGCACCATGAACAGGCACGCCTGGCTTGGCTGCAAGTCCCGCTGTGGAAAGCTGCGATCCCTCAGACAACAGCTACAACAGGAACTTGCTGTCAGGTGGGCCTTCCTTGCTACTAGAAATCTCTCATGGTCGTGTTTTATTTGAAAGGCAGAGAGAGAAAGGGAAAAAAATGGAGAGATTGTATCTGCTAGTTCACGCCTTAAATGTCTATGAAAGCCAGGTTTGGGCCCAGCTAAAGTCAGGAACCTGGAACCCGATCTGAGTCTCCCACGTGAGAGGCAAGAACCCAAGTACTTGGGCCTTTGTCTGTCGCCTCCAAGCGTGCATGTGAGCCAGAAGCTGGATTAGAAGCAGAGTGACAACTAGGCATTCTCCTTTAGGATGCAGGGCTCCTACAAGAAGCAACCTAACTGCTGCCAAGTGCCTACGCGCAAAGCCATCTAGAAGATTAACGTTACCCTAAAACCAATTCCTGCCTGAGTACAGCTTCCTCTTCGAAAAGATCATTTTTTTTTAACAGCACTAAAGTATTCATGAAAATTGGAACTAAAACATAAGCTGCTTTTGGTACAGATTTCAAAATCCATAAATTATATGGACCCTTCAAAAAGTTCAGGAAAAATCACACTACAAAAAACCTACACCAATTTCAGGGTTTTTTTTTTTTTTTTTTTGCACCAAAATAAGCTTAGCTTTTACCGATATTAATTTTACTTTTTTTTTTTTTTAAAAAAAATGTATTTGAAATGCAAAGTGAGACAGAGAAGAAAGAAGGATGCCTTTCACCGGCTGGTTCTCCCCTCTTGCGGCCGTAACGGCCAAGGCAGCCCAGGCTGAGCCAGGAGCCCGGAACTCCATGGGGGTGGCAAACGTCTAAGTCATTGGGCCTGTTGTCTTTCCAAGTGCATTAGCAGGAAGCTGGATAGGAAAAGAGAAATGGAACTTGATCCCAGGCACTTCAAAACGAGACGTGGGCTTTAAACATGTACGATGAATGCTTTGGTAGCATTTTTAATTTTCTCCTTAGGATAAAGTACGAGAAATAAAACTAGTGGGCCAAAAGAAATACGGGCAAATCATGCTCTTACACTCACAACCTTGCCATCACTAGGACTGTTATTTGCCACAAAAATGCCGGTTGTAAGAACATGATATCCTTAAGATGTTTAATTACTTTATTGGTTTGAAAGAGAATAACGGAGCGAACTCATTGGTTTACTCTCTAAACGCCTGCAGCAGCCAGGGCTGGAAGTCAACTCGTGTCTCCCATACGATGGCAAGGAGCCATCATCTGCTCTTCATGGCGGGAGAGCCAGAGTATTGAGATATGGGAGGCAGATAGCCCAAGTGACATCTGAACTGTCTTATTAAGTGCCTGTGCCCCGCACCCCCCATGTTTCATCCACATTTGTTTCATTGTTTCTGAAGTTGAGTTTAAAAATTGGTTTAGTTGGGCCAGGCATGGTGGCCTAGCAGCTAAAGTCCTCACCTTGAATGCGTCAGGATCCCAAATAGGCGCCAGTTCTAATCCCGGCAGCTCCACTTCCCAGCCAGCTCCCTGCTTGTGGCCTGGGAAAGCAGGACGGCCCAAAGCCTTGGGACCCTGCACCCACATAGGAGACCTGGAAGAGGCTCTGGGCTCCTGGCTTTGGATGGGAGCAGCTCTGGTCGTTGGGACCACTTGGGGAATGAATCATTGGAAGGAAGATCTTCCTCTCTGTCTCTCCTCCTCTCTGTATGTCTGATTTTGCAATAAAAAATAAATTAAATCTTTTTTTAAAAAATCTGTTTAGTCTTTGTAATCAAGGCATCTTGAAAATCCCAAAGCCTTATGTGTGAGAACTGAAAAGAGTCATTTCTGCTCCAAACTCAAGAATCGACGAGGATACTTCAAACAGCTCACGTTCAATGCCATTGAAGGACATTCATTTGGAGAGTGGCTATGTGGGGCAGCCAGCCGATGATGTGCTGCTTGGGACTGCCGTATCCCAAGCCAGATTGCCTGGTGTAAGCCCTAACTACTCCGAGCTTCTGATCCAGCTCCTTGCTGACACATCTGGCAGGCAGCCGATAATCATCCAAGTACGAGTCCCTGCTGCCCGTGTAAGATATCATGGCTTTCCAGGCTCCTGCCTTTAGCCTGGCTTCACTCTGCCTTTTAAATAAATACACACACCTTTTTAAAAATATCAAAATGTTGTTAAAATAATTTTTGAAATCCATGCATACAAGTGTTGTGCAGATTTTTAAAAATTTGCATCAAAGTAAGCTTAACTTTTAATTCCATTTTCCACATCCTTTTCAAAGGAGCCTGTGTACATGCCACACACCCATAAATATACATGAGTGTGTAATGAAACTTGGAAACCTCTTAGGAATCAGGAAGCTGTCCCCTGCCCCCTACCACCCCTGGGAAACTTGGAACCCAATTGCTAACAAAGTTTTCCTGCTAGATTTCCATTCTGACTTGATCAAAGCAGCACGTGTTCTGCACGAAGAAAGCATTCGCTCCTGCCTTGAGACATTTTCTCCACACAATGAAGTCGATTTGGAAAACAAGAGATGTGCTCGCCCAGGCCGAAGTGGATGTGTGTGGGTGGAGTGTGGGTGGCTGGGCAAGGAAGGGCGCAAGAGTGGAGGGAAACTGGGCAGAAAGCCACAACATCTCAGGGTTAGTAAGAGGAACTTTCAACTGAGCCCACAAAAGCAAGGCTTTGGATGGTATTCCTGGAAAGGAAAGAGATCTTGGAGCGAGAGGGCAGGGCTGAGAGCTCTGAGAACCCACTTAGGAAGAAGGAGGGCTGAGTTCCAATGAGAGAAGCATGTTCCTTACTTGGGAGAACCATGTACTTGTGGGCACTGTGGGTAGAAGCATTGCAACGGGCAGGTGGGAACAGAGTGCAAGGCTTTTAGGGAAGGGCAAAGTCAGGGCTGGCCTGCTTACTGTGCAAGTGTGCCTCGGTCACATGGGTGACAGCAGTATCTGTCTCGTGCTTGCTTTCCCACGCTGTTGGCCTGCACTGCCTCCTGCGGTCCTCCGGTGCCCTGTGGGGACCAGGATGGGGAGCCAGGCTCAAAATTGTGAAGTGAAACTTCATTAGGAAGCCACGCAGCTCTGAAATGAAGAGAACTGGGATTCACAGATGACTGTGTCTTCACGTCTGCCTTGAAGAACACCTCTGCCGCCAGCACTCAGCCTGCTTCCGTTCGAGGAACAGAGACCACAGCACCTGGCACACCTTGGGCCTGCTGGTGACTTCAGGGCCTTCCCCAGGAGACCGACTGTTAGAGCAGGAAAGAAGCCATAGACTCTCAGTGGCCATTCCCTACAAACATCCCGTTTTTCGGATGAAGTCACTGCTTTGTATGCTCCATCCAGATCTCCCACACAGGTGGTAGGGACCCAAGGGCCGTCTCCTACTCTCACCCTAAGCACATTGGCAGGACACTGGGCTGGAAATAGCTGGAGCTTGAACCAGTGCCATGCAGGCTACGTGTTGATTTTTTCCAGAGCCATATGACTGGTTGACCTGGGCTGGGTTGAAATCCTGGGCCCCTTCCCAGATCTAATGTGTATGTGCCCCCATCTCACCACACTCAGCCAGGCTTCCAAGCCTGGTTCCAACCTAGCCTCCATCTTCCCCCTGAGCACCCACTGCCCATTGCTCCAGGGCAGGTAAGTCTCAGTGAGAGCGGACCAAGATCACGCACGTCATGAATGATCAGTTGAGCTGGGATTCGAACCCAGCTGTGCTCGCCTTGACACTTCACCCCTACACCCAAGTTCACCTCTTCTACTCCCCAGAGTTCCTCCCTGGACTGCCTTTGGCCTCACACCTGCTCTTACCACACGTGCTGCACTGGCCAGGAACCACATTTGTGCATGTTCAAAACCAGGACCCCAAGTGGTTTAGAGGAACCCTTGTTGTGCCAAGCACTCAGTTCTGTCTCAGCAAGGCTGTGACACCTCATCGAAGGGCCCAGGGCCAGGGCCCAGCGTGACGGCCTAGTGGTAAATCCTCATCTTGCATACACCAGGATCCCACGTGAGCATCGGTTCCTGTCCCGGCTGCTCCACTTTCCTTCCAGCTCCCTGCTTATGGCTTAGGAAAGCACTAGAGGACAGCCCAAAGCCTTGGGACCCTGCACCTGCATGTGAGACCCGGAAGAAGCTCCTGGCTTTGGATTGGCTCAGCTCTGGCTGTTGCAGTCAACTGGGGAGTGAACCAGTGGATAGAAGATCTTCTCTCTGTACATCTGCCTTTCCAATAAAAATAAATAATAAATCTTAAAAAAGAAAGAAAGGCCTGGTGCTATTGGGGGGAAGGAGGAGCTGATATGTTTGGAAGGTTCCTCTCTGTCTCTCCTCCTCTCTGTATATCCGCCTTTCCGAAAAAAATAAAATAAATCTTTAAAAAAAAGATTTATTTCTTTATTTGAAAGTGTTACAAGAGAGACAGGAAGAGGGAAGAAGGAGACGAGAGAGAGAGAGAGATCTTCCATCTGTTGATTCACTCCCCAAATGATCAAAATAGTCAGAAAGGGACCAGGGCAAAGCCAAGAGCCAGTAGTTTCTTCCAGGTCTACCACATGCGCGCAGGAGCTCAAGAATTTGGGCTGTCTGCTGCTTTCCTAGGCGCATTAGCAGGGAGCTGGATCAGAAGTGGAGCACTGGGGTCTTGAACCAATGCCCATATGCAATGCCGGTGTCAGAGGTAGCAGCTTAACTCGGTGTTCCACAATGTTGTGCTCCACCCGCCCCCCCCGCACCCCTTGC